TTAGACAGAATTAGTACCGCCGCCTATAGAGTCGCACTGCCTCCAGAACTTTCCAAGGTCCATAATGTGTTTCATGTGTCTATAATACGAAAGTGCAATTCGGACTCCTCTCACGTCTTGGCCCACGAGTCTCTTTCACTTCAGGAGGATCTGTCCTACGAAGAAGTATCGATCGGCATTGTGGACCGAAAGAGCATATTACTCCGCAATCAGAAAATTTCCTTTGTTAAGGTCTTATGGAAGAATCACATACTGAGAGAGACCACATGGGAGCTAGAATCAGACTTCAGACCCAAATATCCTCAGCTATTTGATTAAGAGTGAGAGAGACAAATTTGAGGGATCAAATTCTTTTAAGGGATGGAGAGTTGTAATACCCTAAATTAAATTTTAATGTAATTTAATATTTATTTATAAATATAATTTCATAATTTTTTAATTTTTAATTTTAATTTAGAGTAAAAAAGGAAGTAAAATTGATGAATGATGAAATTGAAAGCAATTTTGGGGGAAATAGGTAAAATTTTGGGTTTTGAGTGTATTTTTGAAAGAAAAATCAAAAAATAGGGATCAAAACGCAATTTTAAAAAAATTATCATGTAGGATGCTCGATCAGCAGCCCTGACGAACTAGGACGTGCCACGTGGCAACGGGCGCTGATGCGGTGCCACACTGGCGATCTACATGCCCGTGATCGAACGGTCCTGGTCCGTTCCCGCGTGCACGGACGGCCTAAATGCACTCCCTCCCAAATGCGATCAAACGACCAGATTCAAACGCGATTAGTCGATCCAGATTAGATCACGATGGACGACCTAGATCAAAAGCAATGAATGACCCAGATTCACTCCCTATTTAATCGTAATCAGACGGTCCAGATTAAACGCGATGGACGACCCAGATCAAAAGCAGACGGATATAAATAACTCTCATTCGCACCAAACTCTAACCCTAGCCACCAGAACCCCTCGTCAGAGAAGAAGACTTGGCCGCCGGGAAGGAGACATCCGCCACCCGCCGTTGTACCGAAACCCTTTCCAACTGCCAAAATAGGTAAAAGCTTTTTCTTTTGCTCGAAATTCAATTTTAAGCTCACCCATGACCAAATAGGAGTAAAAATATCGGCCAATTGACCGAAAAACACCGGCGAAGCCCGGTGGTACTGCCGTAGGGAATTTCACAAAATGCCTCCGATGAGGCCCTTCCCGATTCCCGTTTTGTGAAATTTTTTCACCTTTGTGATCATCATGTCCTTCTCTATAGGTTGACCAGAGCAAAACACCCAACCGCAACGTAAGCCGGAGGAGCCGCCGCACTAGAGAGCCCCGCTGCTGGTGAGTTTTAATTTTTTGTTTTTTTAGGCCAATTGAAGCTCTTTAACGTGTTTTTTTCGTAGGGATTGATACAAAATCGGCCAAATTCAGTCGAAAACAACCGATCCAAGGCGGATCGCCCCCACAGGCAGCGATGCTGTCGCCGGAGCACGGAGAAGCCGCCGTGCTGGAATTTCAAAATTGGCCAAGTGGGCGTCGAGACTGATTTTGGATTTTTTGGGGATATTTATAGGTACTATTAGCGAGTTCTAATTTTCGAAGAAAAATTTACGGAACCCGGGAATCACCCGTAAGTGCAGTCGAATAGCTTAACTTTTCGGACATCAAATTGAGTAAGATCCCTCACCCCATTCCTTATCATAGAATTGAAGTTTAAATAAATAATAATATAGTATTTTGTGTAAATTTAATAAATGTGCATAATTAATTACGGATTACTAATGGAGCCAAAATAAAAAATTGTTCTTTATTGATTTATTTTACAGTTTAAAGGCAATATAGTATCTGATTTATCAATTTTATGTTTTGAATGCATGTATTGCTGTCTTACGTGATCATCGTTTAATTGAAAAATTGAGATATGATTGTATTCCCTGATGCATGTTTGTTTATTTGTGTGATTATGGTTGATTTAGAAAATGGAGACTAACGGAAAACGAAAAAGTTGTGTGGGAAGATGAAGACGACAATCTTACTGGATATCCTGAGAGATGGTGGACGAACCGTGTACATAGGGAACCCTACCGTGAATATTGTCTCATACCGGACGGGGTATGGAGACATGATAATTTGGTGCTCATACCGGACAGAGTATGGGGACAACCCGCTTCACCCTCATACCGGATAGGGTATTGAGATTTAATAATTTGGTGCTCATACCGGACGGGGTATGGGGACAGCCCGGAATTGAGATTGTTAAAAGAAATGATTCGCGTGTAACGGGGACATGACTATGAATCTCCATGGATACTAGTAGGTTGGTGAAAAAATGATAGTTATTGTTTGGTTTATTAACGATGTATATAGATTTGTGATATGTGTTATGTTGTTGATTTTATATGAAACTATGATCTATATGATATTAATTGTCTGCATAGATTATTTTTATGAATCCCACTACGGTAATTGAACGGTAAATGATTTTATTTATGATAAAAGAATTTTTTAAATTAAGTGCTTCATTAGTGTTTTGATTTTATGCCAACCTTTACTTCTGTGACGGTGATATAGTGTGATATCCTTACTGGGCTAGTGTAGCTCATCCCTCATTTAACAATTTCAGATCAAGAAGACCAGGTTTTAAAGCCCGATCCACAGGAGAATTACGAGTAAATGCTAGATTTCTTTATTTTCCATTTATTTTCTTATTCTTGTTGTTTCTTTTAAAAGAGTGAATTCTATAACGTTGTTTGGTACTTTAAGTTATTTGTGTAAGGAATGTAAACTCTGAACATTTATTACGCTTCCGTATTTCAATTATCTTTTATTTCCTTTAGATATTTTCGGAGTCGTTACAATTCACCACCTGGATTCCTTTCAAGAGCTAGTGAAAGTCATTTTAGGATTGTTTAGTTATTTACCTTTCGTTATTTTTTTTTGTTTTCGTTTATTTTTAAGAAGAGACATTCTCGTAACTCTAACTTTATTATTTCGCTTCCGTATTTAATTTATGACTTTATTTTCATTTAAGTTTCGGAATTTTACATTTAGTTTAATTATTAAAAGAATGAATTTGATAATTAAAAAATTTTATTGATAGAGAAAACACAAATTTTATAACACTCATAAAAAAATTTCACATGCTAAATCTGATATACAGTAGATTGTTGAAGATAACAAATCTCACTCAATTTTTTTTCACTTCACACTCCAATATATGTTTTTGCTCTTGTCAAACCTATATAAGAAGCAAAGTTACCTCCTTTTCTTTTCCCTCTTGATTGTTGATTAATTCCAGTTTAATTTTCTAATAATATAACTTAAATGTTATATATAACATATATTTCAAATGTCATTTTTAAAGATATTTTATTGAATTTGAGCTCTATTTTTCTATTACAGCTAATATCAATGTATATATAAATATATATTTGTACATCAAGAAACTAGATATAATTAATCATGAGTCTAATAGTTGGTGATTTTTTTGGAAAGAAAAAAAAAATTATTCACTCATTTGAGCCCTCTATTTAAGCCATATGTCTATATTGAATTCATTTTTCCTTTTTGATTTTATAAATTTTCTGTCACAATTTATCAAGATAGCTAACCAAAAAGGATTCATTGTCTCCCACAATGGCATCACAAGTAATTTTTTGAGAATCAATCTTACCATTCTCGTTATTTAATAATTAGTAAATCTAAAATAGAACGTATTAATCGTGAGAATGTATAAACATTAAATATAATTCAAATTTACTTATTTATTCTTAATATATAGTATAAACTTCTTTTATCGTTAAAATTACCCTCTAAAAAAGGTGTCACACACAATTTGTAGGATCACGACATATCAAAATCTTTATTTTTATTTTTTTCACTCAGAAGTGGCAGCACATGCATTGGTTGTTTTCATCATTGAGCTTGAATGGAATAAAAAAAACAAAGAATTGAATGTTATCTGAGATTACAATTTGACACATGCAAAGATCAAATTCAAATTTAGATTATAAAAAAAAAATTAATTGAAATTATTTCAAAATATTAATTTTACAAACTTTAAAATTTTGAAACTGAAATTGATCCAAAATTAGACTTCAAAAATAAATAGATAAAAATCCAATTACTCAGAACAAAAATTGTGCGCGTCATAAGTCTCGAGCACCAGTTCAGTCTTCCAAATTCTCTACTTAGAAATGGCTGCGTGAGACGTGGGTCCCACACACAAATCTGTAGTGAGACAGGGTTCTGCTGAGCTGGCAAGAACGTAACAGAGCGGACAAGCGTACGGATGATAAGGACTGTAGAGGAGAGGAAGACTCCGGTGGCTGAACTTCCTAGAGCGCCGAGTTCGGGAGGTGAGAAAAAGGACAAAAAACCAAATGAACATTTCGCGCTCTCTCTGTTCAAACGGATTAATTCAGTACCGGGTAAACACGGAAAAAGAGAAAAATCAAAACCCTTACCGCTTACATATGGTAACTTTTAGATGTATCTCTTCACTGTTTTTTTTTTCTCTCTGTAACTAGTCCTGAAACTGCTACTGAAAAATTCAAATTTAGTTTATTGGTGTTTTACCATATATTGATTTTCTTTTTGAGCTTTTGTGAGGAAACTGAGTATCAATTGTGAGTTTCGAAGTCGGGAAGGTGGAAAGAGCATAGAGCGAAAGTAAATCGACGGATTCTATGCCCCCACGGACAATGCGGATAAGAAGAGAAGCGCGCGACAAAGGAGAAAGCAGCGGCATACGGGATGAAAGGGGTAGGGGCGAAGGGATTAGTCCGAGGGTTGGGGTTGCTTGGGGAGATGAGTCGGATTGTTTAAGTGGAGCTCCAGATTTCCATGACGATGTCGGGGAGGGGGAGGTTGACATCATGGAGAATCTTGAAGCGGTTGAAGAAGTAGTTGGATGAGAAGGTGCGTTTTGAGGAGTACGAAGAAGAAGAACAAGAAGGGAGCAAGGAAGGTGATGGTGAAAAGAGACAGAGAAAGGAGAAGAGGAGAGAGACGCGCTTTCATTTCCCCACAGTCGGAGCCTTCTATATTCACGATGATTGGTTTGGTCCCATCGTTGGCGTCCTGGTCCTGCGGGCAGGTATTCACATACTATTGTCTTATATTTTTCCACTATTATATCCGAACATTATTGCATATTCATGTTTTTGTCTCGAATAATTCAAAATTTGAGTCGGGTACTTGCATGTGTTCATTCATTTATGAAGGGTCAAGGATGTATTTACGGTGTACCGATCGTCTTGGATTTGAGAGATTTGTGAAAGAGTAGCTGATAGTTGTAGAAGAGCGTCTTGTTGCTTTGGGTTTTGTAAATTAGTAATTTGTGATGTTTTTCTGATATTCATGTTCTACTTGTTTTGGCTACTACATGTTACCGGTTTTTGGTCGTGTTTCATGCTGAATACGACTCTGTGTATTTAGTACATGAGGCGCAATATCTAGAGTTGAAATAACTTTGAAAATGAATTTAAAATTATGCTTATGTTTAATGAAATAAGCACACTTTTTTTTCATGTGACGTAAGAATTGAGATTTTTGCCACCAAAGTTTTATAAGGATCCAAATATCAATAAGTAATTTTTTCCTTGTCATGAAACATGGAACTGTTTCAACATAATTTTCATGGATTACATCTGGTTGATCTTCAGTGCACTGGGTTATTTTTGTGTCTCCCTGCCTACCCTTGGTCACTTCTGAAAATTTTCAGAATTTGATTGCTAAATCTGAAAAATACGTATCGCTTCTTGTGTGAAACCTTTCATGTTTCTTCTGAAGATTTTCTAAAATTGATTGCCGAATCTTAAAAACACATATAGCTTCTTGTGTGAAACCTTTCATGTTTTTCTTTTACTAGTAATTATATGTATCCATGACTAGAAAATCAATCTTTATATCTTGAACTACTTTTCTGCTTCTTTATTTTCTTATATATACTACTATATTCTCGATTATCGTTAACTGTGCCAATTGAGAATGTAGTAGTATATAATTAAGAAAATAAAGAAGCAGATAAATAAAAGTGGAAGCATGACAAGTTCAAAGAGATGGCACTGAAGGAAAAACACAAGGAATCTAATGCCTAGTTGAAGTTCTGCCTGCATGCTAAATACTGTTTTTCTCTTTAAACAGATATAATATTTTACATGGTGGTGGGAAGATATACAGGATTGATCTATATCGTTTCTTTTAAGGTTAATGTCAATGGTGAATGCAACTTCTAACACGTTTATAACCATGTCATTAGGGAAGCAAGAGTCATAAAGATTATCATCAATGTTGCAGAAGGAATCAAGGCAGAGCTCATGGTCATCTGAAAGCAGAGCAATGCTAGGATATTTGTGACCCTCAAAATCCTTCATTGAATGTTGTAAAAGGAAGAGGGCCTGTAAAGTACGTAACCCAATCAAGAAGCAGCAGGTTGATCCATCAAGAGAAAACCAGTAAGGTTGTGTGGATATTGAAATTCTTTTAGATCTCTCTTTTGTTCTATATATTTTGGATTTCTATTTACTGCTCTGATATCTGGACCTGGAAAATCCCAAGAAAATGGCTTCTAATACTGGTAAGGAAGGAGATCGATTCCAATAAACGAGAAGTAAATTAACCCTATCTTTTTAGAAAAAAGAAAAAAACTCAATTCAAATATATATTTAGAGTTATTTATCTTTTGCTGGAAGACTTCAAAAATTGACCCAGCCGAAATGTTTTCAGGAAAGAAACAAAAGTTTGTTATCTTTCTCCAGACCAAATTTTTTTAAAAATCCATTCCTATTGAGCATTGGCATAAAAGTTATTTATTACTTTCTGGCCTTTCATATTTAGGAAGCCTCTAAGAACTTCAACTGCTGATTCAGCAAAATCATCGTCACCTAAAAGCAAGCAGTAAGTTTATTGCTACATGAGTTCCTTTTAATGTTCTCTTGCCATGGAGTATCATTTTGTGCTCGTATTTTCTTTCTTCTCAGATGCAGGGAGCCCCTAGAGATTTCTTCAAATATTTACTTATTGAGCCGAAGTACCTCGCAAACCTCAAATCAAATATTAAACCCCTGGAGATTTGATCCTACATTGATTCAGTGCAAATATATTCAGATAGGGAAAACGTGGTTTCAGATTCGTGTGCATCTAGAAAGTGTTTTTCAGCATCAAACTCTTTTTCTGGATTCAACATGCTCTATCATGCTCAGGAAATGACACCAGATAGAAATGTATGACCCACAAGAACAGATGGACATTTCCAACTTCTTTAACACTGAATGATAATTGTACACTTAAATTGAATCCATTTATACAAGGAATGACCAATGCTGGTCCTGTTGGACAGGAGATGCTTTACATTTTAAATAATCCACTTACTGGAACCATTTCAGCAAACTGCCTTTTCAGTGCTCAATGTCCTGACCAGCATACATTGCTCAATTTCCCCAGTTAATAGATCAAACAATGGGTTTATCTTTTCCTAGACGGCTTACTCATCAGCAGTTCCCATCGGCTAACCTAATCAGTCAAATTTCTCCACTGCCAGAGAACCTTGCTGTTCAACTAATGTCTCTAGAGAATTCTATTTATCCTTCACTGCAAGATCTTACTCAGCTCTTTAGTCTATGCTCTGCAAGTGGATCTCAAGCTTCACTAAGTTCACTTGGACCTGGATCGTTGGAATTTCCATGTGTATCAAGTGAATCAAAAGTAGTGTTGGTTGGTGGAAGCAACATTCTTGATGAAAGTACTAAAGGTTTCTTTCTGGCTCCTGGGACTAATGATGATCAGAAATTAACTTTGATTCCTGTGCCTTTGCATTGTGTGCTCCCTCTTTTTTCTTATGTCTTTTGCCAATTTAGAGTAGATGCAATAGAAATAATTTATATCGTGCATAGAGCTTCTACTCTTGAGTCTTAATTGTAACTTCCACAACGGCAATTACTTTTTTATATTGTTGCTGTTTGTGTATTCGTGTTGTCCAGGTTCTCCATTTGGACTTTCGAACATGGTTACCGGAACATGAATGCAAGGGGACATAGAGCATGCTATAGAGTGGATAACCGGAAGGTTGTTGAAACTTTCGATATTAGTATAGTTGCTATTGATCTTTGTTTAAACATTTCTCAATCTCAACCTGGTTTTGTCACTTCCAGAATGGCATCGTATGCTGACAACCTCTCTATTTCTTTCAGGTCTCTGACTTAATCTTGTTTTTCTCAGATTCAATGTCTAGCCAGCATTATGGATGGATCTCTGAGTTACAAAGGCCCATATAATTTTCAATTTATAATGTCTTTGACAAGGCATTCTGTTCTTGTTCCTGTTCCATCGTTATTTTACTGGTGTAGGAGGATAAGTATCAGTTTTACTTGTTAATTTGAATTCATAGCTTTCATCCAAAACCTGCATTGGCGGAAGAAGTGGAAAAAACATATTCGATTTAGTTAGGATGTGAATTTAGGTTGCTAAAACTTCAAGGTGTATAGAGCTGACACAAATTAGTTTTAATACTAAGCCATTGAGTTGATCTGTTGAGATCATTTTGACTTTGTGGGTATGC